CACTTCCCTCGATGTGACGGCATTTAAGTAATAGTTGTGATCAACTCCAAAGCTTCTGTTTCAGTCGAGCTTGTGCTCTTCGATCATCCGGACGCACTCACTCCCGTGGTGTTACGGGCCAATGGACACGATGCGGGGCTTGTAGGCCTTGGGGTTGAGCTCGGAGAGGGTCCCAGGGACCTTGAAGATGCCAGCAGGAGGAACTGCCAGCTCATGGCTTCAGACGTGTCGGCATCTGGCTGACCAACCGATTCTGTACGGATGACCAGTCACGTTCCGCCTCCGTTGCCACTGTGACCGCAAAGTGGTGGTTGGCCTGACCATTCATGGGGTTGGGATTGTCTCCTCCAATCATTTCAATCTCCATCTCGGCCTCTGTACTGCTCTGAGACCAGGTTTTCGTAGACACTAAAGATATGGAAGCAACGACCTCGTTGACCTATGGATAGCGGGCTCTGATGCTCCGGCTGATGATGCTGCAATTGCAAGGAGCTTTTTCGCACATGCAGTGAACCAAACCTGGTGGGAGCCAACTAAACAGACACGAGTCCAAGGCATAGCTAATTTTCTATTGAAACTTTCTCAGCTTTATTTGGACTAGTGGGAGACCTGATGTCCTCTGATCAAACATAAAGAAGGATCTGTGCTTTAGGTTGCACCAACAAGAAGACAGTGGATTAGGAATATTTTCACTACTTAGATCATGTGTGAACTGCACCCGTTTTCCTTCATCTTTCCTTGAGCCACACAACTTAAGTTCTGCTAAAATCGCTAATAATTATGGGAACTGAGATCGTAATCAGAACCAGAAAGCCTGGTTTTAGTGAGGCCCCTGTAAATATGTGATGCGACGCATCAGATGCGTGCTATTTTTTGAACCAGAAAACTGAGCTTTATTTTAATTTATTTCTGGCGCCAACAGCAAATTGACGTTTTGAAGATCTAATTGGCATTGATGTTACTGCTTTCTGATATGTACCATCTGTACACTGTGAATGAGGCCAGCTGAGTTGTACATTGTGGAATGTCCTCCCTAACCCAGGTCATTTGTGAATCCCGTAAAACTGTTCATTATTTAACAATCGCGTATCAAGATCTAATATAATCATTCTTCAAAAGAATCGATTGTAGAATCAGAAACATTTTTCCTATTAATTCCATCACAATATGACATATTCACTAATGAGTAATAATCACCCCTTGTCTGGGTCAAACATGACAAAAGCGTCCGTCCCATCTAACAGATGTGTTGAAAAATCAGATCCAAATGACTCAATAATGGGTGCAGTCTAGATTCCTTAAAGATGAGTGGTGTCATATAATCCACCTACTATAGTCCACTGCTATACCTTACTGCTCATGGAATGACATAAAGAAGAGTCCAGCAATGGCAATCTGTGCTGTATGGTTTAGCGAAGGAGGCCAAATTAAAAAAGGACGGATTCGTTTCGTCTGGAACACTGCCTAGTCCCCCCCATTGAGCTCACTAGCCATGGAACTCAGGCTAGGCCAACAGACACCTTCAATTTTCGAGTGCGAAAATGGAGCGAAAGATAGAAAGAAGCTCGCAAAACAAGTTACATGAGCCTGTTTTGCTCCTCTTGGAGGAGCTGTGGCCTGATTGAAAGACTCTTTTCAACTCTCAATACTAGTCCTGAAGTATAGGTTGCCAACTATATGGATCGCCACAATCACACTGCACCTTTTAGCTACGCTACCAAGATGTGGCTTTACCGCTCCCCAAGCGCCTTTCGCATGTTGCCATCTGCGTTGATCGCTTCTATCCGAGGAGGACCAACTAGCAATTCCCACTCTCTCGACTCGGCTAGGTTAAATGTTAAGTGCAAGTTATATGTTACAATTTTTTGTGACAAAAGATGCTAAAAAGGAGCTCCTATCAAAAGAAGTAAATTTTCTCTTTTGTTTTCAAAGCTTGGGGGGCCTTTCATAGCGTAGTTGCCTGTAAACAAGGCTCTTTATAAAAAGCCCATTTTCCATATAACTTGCGATGTCGCTTTGGATCGAGCCCGCCCTCTTTAAGTCAATAGCCGCTCCTCCAGTCCAAGTACACAATTGAAAGAACCCACTTGAGCACCCTCCAATACCATACCATACCCATGACCCTATGAATGAGGACACCTAGTATTTATAAGGGATAATGACATGGACAGTCCTTGAACTTTGACACAACGTGCAATGTGATCTCTGAACTTTTAATAGTTCAATATAATCCACGAACTTTAGCTTAAAGTTTAATGCGGTCTCTGAACTATTACTTTGTTCAATATGCTCCCTCGACTTTTGGTACATGTTCAATATAGTCTCTGAACTACATGAAAATATTCAATGTGGTCCTTCCATTAAGTCAATATAGTTTAGGGATTACATTGAACATTTCATATAATTTATGAACTAAATTGAACATGTACCAAAAGTCCGGAGACCACATTGAACAAAGTAAAAATTCAAGGACCGCATTGAACATTAAGCAAAAGTTCTAAAATTTATTACAAACATGCAATTAAGTTCTGAAATTTTCAAAAATTATAATTAGATCTTTAAACATATCGGGTGCAATAGACTCCCTTCTTAACAAAATATTGGCATAACAATTTTCAATGATTTTTTTTTAAATAAACATGGAACCGATGTGGCCCCAATTAGGCGCCAAATCAGCAAACGCCTTAAAAATTTAAAGAAACAAGATGGAAAGGAAAAAAAAAAAGGAGAAAAATGTTAAAAGAAAAAGGAAAAAGAATTAAAGAAGAAAGCAAAAACGATAAAAATAAAAAATAAAAAACGATTGGGATTCTTAGATTGGATTTGAGTGCCGGTCGTCGGCGAGGGCTAGCCAACCCTTGCGTGGTGGTCGCGCCACCACCACCACGCACAAGCAAGAGGCTGTGAACCATCGCCTGCTTGCCGCACGGGCCGGTAACGCTCGTTGACCCTAGCAATAGCCGGTAGCCCTTGCAGGCCCTTTGCCTACATCACCACAAAGGGTCGCCAATCCTCGTCGGCAAAGTAGGGTGTTTAGGAGCTGCCCCCCTTAATTTAATTTTACTTTAAGGTTAGGAGGAAAACAGTGTCGCTGCCCATTATTGCACTTTTCATTAACATAGTGGCAACATAGGAAGAAGAAAGTAATAAAAAATATCACATCAATATTTTCTATCACTCAAAGTGGACGGAACTAACAGAGGTGCATAATTAGATAAGTTTTAGGATTTAATTGTACAAATTAAAAGTTTCAAAACTATGATGCAAGCTACTCCTAGGAGTTGTGCATGTTAATCCTGAGGGCACCAGCTAAAAGAGCACTCCTTAAACACATTAAATAAGTAGAATGTCGACTTTAAACTCATTATTTTAACCAATTAGAGACAAAGAACTTTTCTTATCTGCAAAGTGTTATGAAATACGATCTCTAAACACCTTGCTGGTAGATTTGAAGCCATTCTTTCATAGATTTGTATTATGTTATCAAACAGGATCAAAAACTGGAGAATAACGACACCACAAGTACCATAACTTTCGTATTGCGCTCAATTGAAGGTAAATTTTTTTGCAACCACTTGAATGCCATAATTTCTAACCAAATGTTCATTCGAGTGCCATAACTTTCAATTAATCACTCAAGTGCCATAACTTTTTAAAAATGTTCATCCAAGTATCGAAAACCCGATGTGTCATAACACTTGTGCTCAACATTTTTAAAAAGTTAGGACGGTCAAGTGATCGATTAAAAAATTATATGACACGTAAGTGATCTAGGAAAAAAATTATGGCACTTAAATGAGTGTCATGTATTAGTTATGGCAATCAAATAATCGAAAAAAAAAAATTATGACTCTCAAATAAGCGCCATACAAAATTTATGACATTTGTAACGTCCTTTTCTTAAAACTAGGAGATAGACCGGAGAGAACACTCTCCTTCAAACAAGAGCTAGTTCACGCAATGATAATAGGATACGGGTAAAGGTCTCATAGGTACAAATTAGGCTGATGGGTCCAAGGCCTTTGATGGAGTTAAATGGCATGTTCTCAAGATCATTTTAAGATAAGTTACAGGTTCTGGACCTCAGATTCTGCACATCTAGCATCATATCCCTTGTTCCGGCGACCTTGTTCTTGTATAAGTAAAGTGATTATGAGAGGATAGAGATGTAAGCGAGCTTATTGGCTTCCTCAAAGAGGATAACCACGGGGAGATCCCTGCATCTCTTCAGCGTTTGCACGGAGACCCTGTTGCATACGATTCGCAAGGCCGAAACAAAGGGTTCCTTTGGAGGATCAAGCAGTCATGCCGACCAGTCGTCACAATGTTCTCAGTCATGCAATGATGGAAGAACATGGTCAGTGGACAGGGCATCTTCTTCTCTGGCAATGCGTTTTCCAGGAAAGAAGACATTAAATTTCGATGCTAGGTATTATCGATTAGAAAAATGAAGCCAATCTTGCAGCATGTAAATGCATAACCTTCCCTCGGCCAGGAAGGCGGAAGGCTAGTTTGATAAGAGCTCAGTCTCTGCTTACGCTATGTCAACGCAGAAGCTGAAAGGCCATGTAAGTGAAAATTTGGATATGATGGCGAGGAGTTCTAAGGGAGGAATGGCACTCGAAGGCCAGGGGCTAAATCAATGTGGTGAACTTGGTTTCAGGAGATCTCAAGACCTCAGTCAAGCTATGATCTCCCAGACTGGGATGACAATTTCTCATAGGACCCAATCAGAACCAGCTGCGGCTTGCACGTGAGAGTGATTCTGGTGAAACAGGGTGAAGAAGAAATTTGATGAATCACCAATCGAGAAGTTCCGACAATCGGCATCCTTCTTATGGAAGAATATACTTTCTACAAGACCTCTATTGAGGCAGGGTTTGTGTTTCGCTGTAAGGGACAGTCACGTTAATGATTTGGGAGATCCTATTTGAAGACGTATGTCATCCTAATGTTCCTTCATTAGTGTATGATGTGGTGCGCAAGTTTGCAACTATGTGAAGACACAATTCAGCAGTTGAATTTCATTACAGATGCTGAACCCAGGAAAGCGTACAGACACACAAACAGCTCATTACGACCGAGGAGGACGCACGTATGCATAAAGCGCAAAGAAAGACTGAATGAAAGTGAGCACTAGAATCAGGGAGGCCGCCAGTGCCGAAATCAAAGACCATGGATTACCAAAGTACTTACGCTTCAATCCCGTCCACCGCACACGCCACTGGTTCCTATAGTACCTGTTCAGGTCCTCCATCACTCCAGCCAGATAGCACCTCCCAATATCGAACCCCACGTCCTTCCCTAAGTCATTGAAGAAGCTCGCGACTTCGGGGTAGGTCCCGTAGTAATTCTCCAGCACATGGTGATCCGATAAGAAGCTCGCGTCATCCGCAGTGGCCATGAGGCACCCCATGAAGGTCACGTAGCTAGTGATGTGCTGCGAGCAGTAGCAGTAGCACTGCTCGAACGCAACACAGTTGAGGAAGAAGGAGCTGGTCAGTTCATCAATCGTCAGTGGGGGAATCTCGAGCACTCCATTGTTGAACCGAATGTCAAGCCAACCGTCGCACTTCCTCGGCTTGAATTTGATTCCCGAGCGACGGAGCTTTGTCACTGAACGGACCAGCTGCAGATACTCGTCGTCGAATTCCCTCGGTGATTCCGGAGGAAGGTTGATAAGGCTCATCTGGATGAGATGGAGCAAGTGCTTGACGTCCGCGACTCCATAGTACTTCACGAGGACATCCGGCGGCCGCTGCACGCCGTAGTTGAAGAACCGCAGCGTGAGCTCGACGAGAGAGTACTGGGGATCGGCAGGACACTTCGACATATCGTAGAGCGTTTGGAGGACGAAGAAGGGGACTTGGTTCTCGAGATGGAGGAAGTCGCGCATGAACGAAGTGAACGTCCACAACATGTTGAAGATCGGGTCATCGGGCTCGGGCGTGACGATGCTCTCAATCACTCGGAACATCTCGATGATAAAGCAGCCGTCGAGGACCATCATCTCAATGAGCTCCGAGCTGCCGAAGTTGAGTGGCTCAGAGTAACAATCTCGAATCTCCTCTTCCTTCGACGCAAGGGCATTGAAGTAATCGTTGTAATCAACTCCAAAGCTTCTGGTTCGGGCGAGAAGAGCAGAGAAGAACCGCGGCTTGTGCTCTTCGATCATGTGTACGTACTCTTTCCCATGGTGGTACGGGCCGATGGACACGATGCGGGGCTTGTACGCCTTGGGGTTGAGCTCTAAGAGGGTCCCAGGGACCTTGAAGATGCAGCAGGAGTAACTGCCAGCTGAATGCTTCAGACGGGTCGGCCTCTGGCCGAGTCTCCGATGCACTACGGATGACCAGTCCCTTGCCGCCTCCGTCGCCACCGTGACCACATGGTGGTGGTTGCCGTGACCGTTCATGGGGTTGGGATTGGCTCCTCCAATCATTTGAACCTCCATCTCGGCCGCTCTACTGTTCAGATACCAGGTCTTCGCAGACACCAAAGATGGGGAAGCGAAGACCTCGTTGACCTCTGGATAGTGGGCTCTGATGCTCTGGCTGATGATGCTGCAATCACAACGAGCTTTTTGGCACGTTCAGTGAACCAAACCTGGTAGGAGCCAACTAGACAGACACGAGTCCGAGGCATAGCTAATTTTCTATTGGAGCTTTCTTGGCTTTACTTGGACTAAGTGGGAGACTTGAAGTCCTCTGATCAAACATAAAGAAAGGCGTTTGCGTTAGGTTACACCAAGAACAAGACGCGGCATTAGGAATATTTTAACTACTCAGATCATGTGGGAACTGCACCAGTTTTCCTTCATCTTCCATTGACCCAAGGAGCTGAAGTTCTGCTAAAAAAATATAACAATTATGGGGGACCGAGTTCATAATCAGAATCAGGAAGCTATTATGGTCATATATAATTCTTGTTGTGGATCAATTGCTAGAAAACCAGAAACTTTAGCTCGGATGAAATTTCTGATACTGATGTGATCGTATAAATGCCTGGTTCTAGTGAGACCCCTGTAGATTTGTAGTGCATGCTATTTTTTTAAACCAGAAAGCTGAGCAATCTTTTAATTTATTTCTGTCGCTAACAGAAAATTGACGTTTTGAATATCTAATTGGCATTGATGTTACTGCTTTCTGATATTTGTACTATCTGCACATTGTGAATGAGACCAGCTGAGTTATGCATTGTGGAGTCTCCTCCCTACCCCAGGTAATTTGTGATTCCCATTAAACTATTCATTATTTAACAATTGCGCATCGAGATCTAAAACAATCATTTATTTATAAGAATCGATTGTAGAATCAGAAATTTTTTTTCCTACTAATTCCATCACTCGGAAATGAAACATTACTCTGTAAATCTCGTATGTGTACTAAAATGAATCTGGACCATCGAACCTAGTGAGATCTACAATTTTAATGATCCGGTTCAATATTAGGATGTATATCACGCTCGTGTAATAATTTCTCCAAGGAAGTGTATTAACAAAGCGAGATGACTTGTGATACAGGTCCAAGCAGCCATGCTCCAGGCTGGCAGGCAGCCAATTGAAGGCTTTCATCCGAGAGCACTTAGGTTATGGGTCCAAGTGGCCGGTGAGTCCACTCCAGGACCATGTTCCTGGCGGCCGATCAAAGGCTTTTGCTCAAGAACACTTGTGAAACTGGTCCAATTGGCCAAGGGAATTGGCTCCAGTATTGCGTCCCAGCGGCCGATGGCTTTCACTCGAGAATCCCAAGGATATAGGTCAGGGCAGCCAAAAGCTTTTGTTCCTGGACTGTGTTCAGGGCGACCACAGGCTCTCTCGAGAACACTGAGATGTGTGGCCGGGCAGCAGTAGGCTTTTGCAGTGGAGGTGGCGGGAGGCTTTCACCATAAATTATAAAATCCAGGTGGCTGATGGCTTTCACTACAGACGGTCCTGGCGGTCGAAGGCTTTCGCTGAGGACTGTCATCTCCAAGGTGGCCGAAGGCTTTCACCGTTGGAGAGACTCTTCACTGTGCGCGGGGCCCCGCGTTCAATTATTTCCTACGATTAATTCATGACAAGCATATGATATGAGGATGACACAAATGGGAGACAATGCTTTCATGTAACCATTGACAACTAGATCAACAGAAATTAGAAACAGTAATGAAAGCTGAACATGGGGAAGATTCTGTCAATAAACAGATTTGACCATATAAATCCTGTCGATTACAAAATCTCTAGCACAATATAGAGAGAAAGATGGGTCTTTGAAGACTAATAGGAACGACGGCGACACCATCTACCATTGATCTGCTCAGCAAATACCAGTATTAATGGAACTAAAACGGAAGATGGCTTTTTGTAACCAATTTACTTTATTTTAAGTTCTTGTGACTGAACTTCTAGTCATTTTATTCTGAAACTCTACAACGACTGTTTCAAGTTACCAAATCAGGCACAAATTAATGGAAATATGAGGAAAAACAGATTGCACAATGGGAAGAATCTGTTCTGCCTCATCAGGAAGCCAGAAATCAAGATGACATATTCACCAATTAGTAATAATCACCCCTTATCTGGGTCAAACATAACAAAAGCGTCCGTCCCACCTAACAGATCTGTTGAAAAATGAGATCCAGATGACTCATAGTGGGTGCAGTTTAGATTCCTTAAAGATGAGTGGTGTCATATAATCCACCTACTATAGTCCACTGCTATACCTTACTGCTCATGGAATGACATAAAGAAGAGTCCAGCTAAGGCAATCTGTGCTGCATGGTTTATTGAAGGAGGCCAAATTAAAGAAGGTACTCGACTAGGAAAAGTTAACATCATTTTGCACGCACAAATCAAGAAAAGAAAAACACTGTCATGTGACGATACAGTCGGCAAAATGAAAGGGTGACCCCAACACTCGAACTTTTTTCCAAATAATTGACACCACTGACCCCATGGATGTAGGAAAGTAAGCATTAAGACAATGGCATAAGACATTTTTGCTGTACCATCGAGGGAAGAAGATGCTGGTTTGTGGGTCTATGCCGGCAATCACCGTACCTTTCCCACATATTGAGCTGCCGATTCTGTCCCAGAAAGAAGACACCTCTCTTTTGTGCACCTCCAATGACACGAGTGGTGAACTGGGCCACCGCGCAAACAGTGCACAGGTTGAGCTGTTGAAGTTGATGGGAGAGTAATGTGTATAAATTCTGTCGTTCAGTGACCTATTTTGCTTCGGGATTGAAGTAGCCATGGGAGACTTTAAGCATCTGGTTATCGTCAAGTTCAAAGAAGACGTTGCAATTGAAGAGATTCTCAAGGGATTGGAGAAGCTGGCCCTGGAGATCGAAGCTGTCAAGTCCTTCGAATGGTAACATAATCAAACTTCTATTTAGCTGATGATGATACTCATGATGTTTTGGTCCGTGGGACAGTTCAGTGCACTCCAAAGTGCTAATCTCTCCATCAGTGTGATATTAGTGCACGGATCTGGTCTAGTCGACCAATTATTATTATCGTAACAATTCTGTAAATTTCTAGACTGAATCTGCTTGTAGACCATAAAAAATGCAGTGATATTCATATGCTGAGAGGACGGGCATAGGCTTTTTAAAAACTGAGGTGTGGCTATGCTGTAGCAGAATCATACAGTTGCGCTCTTTGCCCTTTTTTCTGTTCAATGACAACATAATTAAGTGCGTGATTTTCCAATCCACCAAGAATCAACCTTAATTAAAGCTACAATTCCCAAAACTGTTTCTCACTATTTGGTTTTAAAAATGTTAATGAAACAGGGGACAAGACATGGAAGGGCAAGAGATGCTTAGACAAGGTTTTACTCATGCTTTCATAATGTCATTCCACAAGAAGGAGGACTTCACTGCCTTTCTCGGTCATTCAAATCATGTAGAGTTCTCCTCTACATTTTCCTCAGCTATTGAGAAGGTGGTTGTGCTCGATTTCCCCGCTGTTCTTGTGAAAACAGCAGCATGATTGTGATCATCCTCTGTGCAATGTGTATGTGACAGCATATGTGTGTACTCAGTTACTCGTCCAGTCTCGATAGAATCTGATCAACCTACAGACTACCTGTTCTGTTTCAGCGTGTCCTATATTGTATTTTGGATTATATGCTTTTGATGAATAGACAGTAAGATTGGTACTGCTGGTAATGGATTCAATTAATCATGATAGTAATAGCATATGACTGTGATCCCAGAAGGCGTTAAACGAACTTTGACTTTATTGCTATGCCCTGTCTGCGAGAGTGGACAATTAGTACTGATGTGATGCTAACACACCATCCAATGCGATCACATCTGTAACCCCACCTAAAAGGAGAGCGAGTGGCCCGATTTAGTCTGAGGTACTTTACACCAATCAGCATGATTATGCGAATTCGAGATAAAATATGGATACTAAACTTTTGGCTCCTGACAAGCCCAGGCATCTGGTTCTATTCTGGTTGCAATTGAAATGTCGCGAGATCAAAAGAAAAGAGATAAGCGAGAACATGCGCAAAAGGGGCATTGAATATGTACCCGATAGCTCGACCAAATACGAAGCTTAAAGCCTTATATGAAAGAGATGGGCTGGATTCTCAGAGCTAAAAGCAAACAATAAAAGTGCCAATGACCACCGTGGAAAAGAGAAGAAACATGAAGTAAAAGGATTGGGGAAGAAAAAAGCTCTGATTCTTCTGCAAAAGGAGGCTCAAAATGATTCCATCTGGTCCAAAAGAAATCAAAACAAACAATAGAATGAACTTATTGCCACCAAGTGACCCAAAAAGGGGGATTGCATAAGGACAGATATTCAAAGATAAACTGAAAAGTAGATTCCATTTCCCAATTGCTTTCTTCTATCACTTCTATAATCTGCCCCCCAGAGAATCAAGAGCCAAAAAACTAAAATGAAGCCGCTGAAGAGACTCCATCTCCTAGTAGTTCTGATACTGCACTACTTTCTTCACCTTTGCATAGCCGAAGGAGCGCCTGGAACTCTCTGCGGCAAAACCCAGATCGACCCGCCTTTTTCGAACTTGAATTCGACCGAGGCATCTCCATTGAGTAGGATGATTCTCTGCAGATCTCAGAAGCCATATTTCAGAACATCTCTTGGTCTTTTCCGGATTTCCTCCATTGACTACACCAACAAACTACTGACCATCTCACACCAACCGTCTTGTTCATCTCAATCCCATTTGTTCTTTCCTTCACTTCTCACTGCTGGTTTTCCCCCGCCTCCGCACCCAAACTCACTCCTCCTCCTCAACTGCAGCGATACAAGACTCCCCATAATGTCGACTCTTATCCATAATTGCACTAATTTTCATACATGCCGAGTTCTTCCAGAAACTCCAGGGCAACCAACTGAACCTCTTGATTCATGCTTGCTTATTCATGATCTCGAAAAGCTTGAGAATGGTATTGATCCTAAGGCCCTGAACTGCTCCAGTTACAGATGGGTATACAAGAACAATGCTACTAATGATGGTACTGAGTCGGAGGACTACAAAGGGTATGAGCTTGGGACGAGGATATCATTCGACATTCCAGATCACGTGCCGAACATCTGCAACGAGTGTGAAAAGCCTAATGGAAACTGCGGTGTGGGATTAAGGTGCATTTGCCATCCAAGGGAGTGCAGTAAGTCCACAATTTCTTCTATTCGGTTTTGTTATCATCGAAATCGTTGATCAGAGTCAAGAAATCAACATTTTCTTTTGCAGGGGATAAGGTCATCTCAGGAGGAAGTGCATCATCCAAGTCCTTTGGTAGTGTCCTCTTCTGTTTCCTTGCTCTCCGTTTGGTTCTATTCATTTGAGAATCTGCTGGTGCACTGGTAATGAACAGACCAAGATTATTAGACAAGCGAATGACCCTTGCTCTTCTGGTCCAACTTGGACATGCCCATGAAACCTTTTTACAAGCTGCATCGCATCCTTAACTCGGTCCATTAGATTTCCAAACTCGAGTTCGAGCTCTGAAGCTCAAATTCGATCTCAGAATGACTTTAAACTGAAGTGAATTTCTGACGTGCGGAATTAAGTCGAAGCTTGAGATTTTGAAATTCATTCCTGATCGCAGCCCAAATCGAGCGGCGCTCAAGTACATCGCTCGAGCTCGATTCAGCTCAACTAGACCCGGTTTCCGAAGTCCATCGATGCATGCCAATAAGATTTCTAGTCTTACCACCATGCCAATTATTTTGGAGCCCATCAATGCTGAATACCCTGCGATGGACTCTGCAGCATGGTTATCTTTTTTCATTTGCCATGATAAAATGATAATTAAGATTAAAAGGCAAGTTTTACCACAATAATTACTTAATTAGGCAGCAGTCCGGCCAATTTGGCATTTTCCCAACTGCTTCATCATTTTCGTGCGCAAAGTCAAACCTAGGAAGGATTGGAGGTGGCCCAAAGTTTAGGTATTTGGACTCAATCTGCACCCAAAATCTTGTGCCCTCGCGCCTATGTCACATGCACATGTGCCTTAATTTCCCGATCACCGAAAATCCCTCCATGAATACACGTCGGTGATTCCGATGTGACGATTATATCATGCGACAGTGAATCAAGGAAAATAAAAGTCGATGAGAGACGGGTTCTTTTTACATTCGAATTCAAAGCAGAGTGTCGGACGTTAGCGATTTGTCCGGTCATTCTACGCATTTGTTTAAACGAATCTCATGGCGATTAGGACTCCGATTTCGTCGTATCAAGCGAGACAGAACACGTGAAGGAGTGTACACACATGAGATGTACATGGAATCATCCCCCCATCATCTCGCTTTCGCAGAGGTTGGAGATCTTGAGGAAAGGACAAAATCGTCCAATAATTTAGTTTCATTGCCTTGCCAATGGGAAGACGAAAACCTTAAAGAAATCAAAAACTATATAAATAAATTAAATCTGACGAAAATTGAGTCCAACATGACGGAAAGAGAATGGGCACTAGAGACTTTGCATAAGGTTGGCAACTCGGCATCAGTTGAATAATAATACCGTAGCCCGTGTAGAAAACCCTTTTTGCCCCTTGTTTTTCTTTTTCAATTGAGATAATTACACAAATGGTCCATGAACTTTGGCCCAATGTGCAGTGTAGTCCATAAATTTTTAATTTGTTTAATACGATCCCTGAACTTTAGCCAAATGTGCAATGTATTCCCTGAACTTTTAATTTGTTCAACGTGGTCCCTGGACTTTTGATAGATGTTCAGCTTAGCCCACGGACTATATGAAAATGTCCAATATTGTCCCTGCCTTAAACTTGAAATAATGGAAGGACAACATTAAATATTTTCATATAGTTCAGAGATTAAGTTGAACATGCACCAAAAATCCTGAGACCATATTGAAGAAATTGAAAATTCAGAGATCATATTGTACATTGATCTAAAATTCAAAAACCACATTAAATAAATTAAAAGTTCAAGGATATATTACACATTTAGTCAAAATTTAAGGATCATTTGTATCATTTTCCTTTTCCAATTTCCGTTGCGTTTGAGAAGCTTAAACTCGATCAAGAATGGCTTCTTGCTTTCGTTGCCACGTTCGAGTTTGAAGCCTCATTTTGTTGACTGAAGATTCTCTCTAAAAACTCGTTGAGTAAGTTCGCCGGCACTTTGTGACGTTTTGTAAAAGCTCGCCATCATGAAACACGGATTAGTCAGGTCAACGAAGTTGAATTAGCGATGCATCCTTGTTGACTGAAAAGCATCATATATCCCAGCTGCAACTTTTCCATCTGTTCTTTCAAGGAACATTCAGTATCGAATGAAACATGCTGTTGACTCTCGTTTTGTTGCCAATGAATGCGCACGAGTATGGCCAGAGTATAGAACTGGGTTATGTATGCAGCATTTCGCAAGTTGACCGGACGATGGTATCGTGAAATCTCGTGGGATCTGAACATTTTGTCTTAAGAGACTACGCCGTGAAATCCGATTGGAGCGGCCTGTGAATATTTTGGGGCGCGACCCGATTCGTTTTGTGGCCTGTAGGGTCTAGAATGCATTCCAAATTAACATTAGCGAGGTGTGCGTGTGATGGCATGGTAGAGACTCCAGAGGCCCTCAGGTTTTGATTTGGAGAGATTACCCAACTCATGATTGCACATCATGCAATCATATGATGCTTTTCAACTCATGCTTGCTGTTTGCCACCCTCCCTTCCCCCTTAAAATAAACTTGGGATAAGTACTTTCAAAGTCCTAAAACTTATCACGAAAGTATAATTGAGTTCTAAAACTTTCAAAAAGTACAAACAAGTCCTAAAACTTATCATGAAAGTGCACTTGAATTCTAAAACTTTAAAAAAATGCAAACAAGTCCTAAAACTTGTCACGAAAGTGCAAACATGTCCTAAAACTTATCAAATTGATTTAATCAAGTCCTTCCATTAATTGTACTTTTTGAAAGTTTTAAAACTTATTTGCACTTTTGTAACAAGTTTTAGGACTTGTTTGCACTTTCGTGACAAGTTTTAGGACTTATTTGCACTTTTTGAAAGTTTTAGGACTCAAGTGCACTTTCGTGACAAGTTTTAGAACTTGTTTGCACTTTTTGAAAGTTTTAGGACTCAAATGCACTTTTGTAACAAGTTTTAGGACTTCTAGTGCATATATCCCAGTAAACTTTGAAAATTCATTTGTGGGGTAGAGAGAGAGAGAGAGAAAGAGAGAAAGAGAGAGAGACCAATCATTGTATATAATACATTAACACCTCAGCTCTGCAAAAAGCACCCTACTCAACAAATGAAGAGAATTTTGGCCAAAAAAAACGAATTAAGACCAAATATAACAAGGAAAAATATGTTCATCTGCACCTTCCTTGTTTGCCTAAAAAGACAAAGCTAACTCAAAAGTATTCCGTACCTCCTTTAAACATGTAATGTGAGACAGATGAAGAAAGATCACAAGTTACACAATTCGATCTATGGTTCGGACTTGAAGAAACCCAAAGAAGAGAGAATCCCAAAGCTACACGTTTGAACTGGCCTCTGTCATCTTGGTTGCACATAACAATAAAGAAAAATCACCTCTCTGACACTCTTCCTCTTCTTGCATCACAAACTTCTCTTCCAACCAAAACCTTTCATTATCATCCGTCGTTGAGGTCGCCGCCGATGTTTCGTTTCTCATCCTGAACATGAACGTTGCACATCCGGTCCCCGGGGCGAAGAACCAGTCGTGCACATTCCACAACAGGTCGATCGCCAAGCCATCGACGAAAATCATCTGGCTCCCCCGGAAGTTCCACTGCAACCTTTTCACTCTCAGCGCAATCTTCTTGTCGATGTAAACGCATAGGACCGGATACTTCTGCCCCTCGCTTTCATCTCTGTGCTTGATCAGAACTTCATGCACGATGCCCGTCTTGCCGAACCTGGCCTTGGTACTGTACACTGAGTTGCCCGACAAATGCTCTCGCCGCGAAACCATAGAGAATTTCGCTTTATCCCTGCTTGCACAAACCTTGAGCTTCTTGGAGATCGCTTCTTGTGTTGCCATGTCACCAAGAACAAGACCTAATTCAGAATCAACCAGGACCAATACATAGAACCCGTCCACAGGTTCCGGTCCCATCTCGTACGTGGCTTTCGAAAAGTCCCAGAAGACTTCTACCTCGGAATTCTGGTGCTCCATCTTCCTGCAGTGGCCCCTGTTCTTCCTGAACAAGCCCGAATTGGTGCTGAGCCTGAAGGAAGAAGACGGATCGTGGTCAAAGCTCATGATCACGTCTCGATGACCCGCTTGTGCAGTGAGCCAGGAGATGGTGATCAAGAGGTGCTTCTTGTGCTTGGAGAGGATGGTCTTGTAGACGCAGGTGACCGCATTTTGGACTGAAGGAAGAGGGGAGGGAGAGATGAAAGCGTTTTTGGAAGGGTGGGAGCATGATGGGTTGGAGAAACTGATGGAGTCCTCGCTGAAGCAAGAAATGAAGTCTCTCATTGTAGTTCTGTGAGATTTCTGTGGAAGAGAGAAGTGGTGATACAAAACCACAGCTCGTAGAGAGAGAGAGAGACAGAGAGAGATGAAACAATTGCAGAGAGAGATGTATGCTGAGAAAATAAACGAATTCCTTTATCGTTTTGAGTTTTGGCATGAAAAGCGGTGAGTGCTCTTTGAACTGTCCATGCTTTTAGCTGTTGAAATTCTTTTAACTTGAAGAATGGTGGGTGGACCCGTTCAAACCTCCCCCCTTTTGAATCATTTTTGGGCATGGAAGACCAAATATTTAGAAAATTTATGTATTAATTAAACGGTGATAGACTCGTGCTGAGCAATGACTAGTACTCATTTATTTAAACTAAGCATACGTCCCACTAAGAATTACAATATGCAATATCACTTTGCATATCTATTTTATAGATTAATCAATGTATTTAACATTACTCCTTTTTGTGAGTCATTCTAGATAAACAAGAAAAGCTTGATAAACCGATATGCTAAGTGATGTGACAAACTTTAAATAAGCTTTCAAACAAATAGAGCATTTTTATCATTAGTTAATATTTCGTCACGTCATTTTGTGTATTAATGTAATAAAGGGAAATTTATCCAAAAAGTCTTAGATCTATTGTACAGCAGTCAGTTAAGTCATGAACATTTCAATTATACCAATTCAGTCCTAAACCTTTTAACAACTTGCCAATTCAATTATAAGCCTTTTAATTATGTCAATTTAGTCCTAAACATTTTGAGGATTTGCCAATTTAGTTATAAACCTTTTAACGAATTACCAATGTAGTCCCTTTGGCTAATTTTGATCGAAAATCGCTAACGTGGCAATTAGTCAGCACTGGCCATCCTATGTGGTGCGGCCAATGGTAACGTGAATAATTTTTTTAATTTTAGCCGATGCTAACTGCATTGCCGCATTAAGCAAATTCCAGGCAAATTATCCGGAAGGACTACATTGGAAATTCGTTAAAAGATTTATGACTAAATTTACAAATCATCAGAAGATTTAGGACTAAATTGACCACTCTACAATTGGTTTAGGACTAAGTTAGTACAATTGAAAGGTTAAAGACTGAATTAGTCGCCGTACAATAAGTTTAGGACTTTTTGGACAAATTTCCCGTGTCATAAATCAACTAGACCATTAACCTGCCCTTTTTTGTACGGAAATAAATTAGTGATCAACCAAAAAACATAGATATAAACGTCAACTAATCAACATAAAATCCAAAAGAAAAAAAAAATCAAAGGTTGGAAGTCAGTAACCAAAAGCTCATTATTGTCAACCAAACTTTTTGGTAATATATCAGTGCTTGATCAAATGAAAAATGTAAAACACTCTAACAAACCAAACGGGAAAAAAAATCAAAATAATAAAACAATCACATATCGGAACTCGGGTAACTTAAAAGAGAGAAAAGAATAACTGAAGTATAAAGATCTATATGCTTGATCTTGTAGACAAAAAACTACGAAAGTCAAAACTTTAATATTAATAAACCATAACCTAATTCTCAGAATCATACTGCTTCACATCCAACTTTTTCACAAAACTTATTCGCCATTCCTTTAATACCCGGCAAGTATCGAGAGGATAGCTAAAACTCTCAAGAAAATACTTAGTAGGATGAGTTACCCCGAAAACGTTAGCGATTATTATAATCGTTATACGATAATTTTTAGAGAAAAGCTTTGTTCGTTTTTTTTTTTAATTTATATAGATTCCATTACCCCTAATAATAATACCATTTTTCCACGTCTTGGTTTTCTGTTGGTTGACAGGTCATCTGAGATTATGACGAGCCCCTGAATAGGAAAGAGACGAAGAAGCTTTCCCATTGAAAAAACACCCAAGGGAAAACGTCTTGGGACAAAGTCAAGAAAGGGCATGGGGCCACCCCCCCACCATACCTTTTACCCATTAACAAAACACCAAGTTTTGCCAGAGAGTTTTCTTGCAAAAAGCTTTCATGGCGTTCGTGACTTAAACCTCTTTTGGTGGTGTAAAGTGTGTTATCGCATCTTGCACGCTACGCTAGGAGGAGGACCGACTTTTGATCATTTTCCATAAGCACGACCGACCGCTTAATTGACGGTTCGAAAAGTTTAATCTTCTTTGATTACCCATTGGATTGATTGAGTTTTTTAATCTTGTGCTTGACGATTAATAGCCTCGTCAAAAACGACTTCAAATAGCAGGGGAGGAATTAGGTGTGTGTGAAGGCAAGGCCAAACCCAAACTCCCATCGCATTATGCAGCACCCTATCACCATTGACACTCGCACGGTATGGCTCCACGCTTTTCCCGAAAAGTTGTTTATCCGAGCGATCTAAACCGATTAGTGTCTTAAGTCACTAGCGCTATCATGGGAGTAAATTATATTGCGATGCGTGCACACCGGAGCGTGTTAGTCAACTGGGAGAGGACGATTACAAAGTAAATCTTTAAATTTGTCGCGACGATGCACTTGAATCCTAGAATTTACCATTTCATACATTTAAGCCTTGAAGACTTATAGTTTGAACCCGCTTGAATCCTTTCGGTTAAATCCGCCAATGATAAGCTGACGAAAAATGCTATGTGACTGCTTTTACTATTACTCACGTAATGTTTTTCATCTATTAAAATCTAAAATGTTAATGAAAAGGCTAAAGCGAACGGCTATAATGAGTTTTACCATTTAAATGTACGAAATGAAAGTTTTATAAGTTGAGTGCATTATCGAACCATGGGACTTGTGCCATAATTGTCTCGTTGGGAGAAGTTAGTAAGAACACACAATGGGTCGCTCGCGTATATCGTGCAAACAAGAACTCCTAAATCAAGTAGGATGCACAGGACCGCTTAGATCCAAGCATCGATCACCCTTTTGAGTGCACCTAATGCATATTAGAACCTTCATCAATTGGCAGTAATTGCGAAATCAAGCTTTTTATCTCTGTTCGTAAGAATGCCGATCGCATGCGCCGGGGAGAACACCGTTTGTTACACATATACTAAAAAAACAACTGTTGGCCATGAGAAGAAGTCGTTTGAGCTCTATTGTCTCGTTCAAGAGCTGCCATCAAACAACGGCTTCATCGATATAATAATAAGATAAGCTGAATCGACATCTCATCTACCGGTTGCATGTGCAGCTCCCCAATCTATATCAATATGGTCAATGAAAGTTTTACGAGATTAGCCAACCACAAACAGAAAATTGCTTACCATTCATGGAACAGAATAGTAAAACTTGAAATGGTGAATCCACAAGAATAGAATGGATTTCCTTAAAATATTGCTAACCGAGCAATAGAACGATCGTTACCCCAAGTATTGTATAGGCCTAAGGTGAAATGCTTATTTGATCGATCCGACCTTGCTGTTTTGGCCTTCCGAAGGCAAATCGAAAAGGAACAAGATATACTTGTATGGCAATGGAAAGAAAAGTAATTAGAATAGGCCTAGATTCCACAAATACTCCTAACCAGTGAATAGAGTAATCATTCCAATCAAAAATACCTCCACTGAGAAACGGCGATTCCATTAGACCAAACATGTTGTTAGGGTCAGAGCCAATGCAAATTTACAATGCACAGCACATGGACTTGAAATCAATAGCTTTTCTGTTGTCTTCTTAGACTGCGAATGGCAATCATTCTATTTCAAAAATCAATTTATAGCTAGAAATATTTTTCTATTTCTGTTCCTGGACGAGTTTCTGAGCAAAAAAACACGTTTGATAACGACACAAAATTTTTATTCCTAAAACAAAAATTTGTTTGATAAGGGCACAAAATTTCTTTCTCTCGAGTGGTCGATGAGTGGACGACGCGCGGATGGCAGCGGTGGCAGCGAACGACGAACGGCGAGGGGAGGCAGCGGTCAACAGCAACGCGGCCAGTGCAGAGGACGGCAGATGGAGGCGGCCGGCATTGGGCAACGGCAGGAGGTGGGCGACGGCCGACGGCAGGAGGGGGGCAACGGAGGGAGGAGGGTGGACGGTGGCAGCGAACGGCGAGCGGCAAACAGTGGGGGGAGGCAGCAACGGACGGCGACGCAACCAATGTGGAGGACGGCGGCCGGAGGCGGCCGGCGTCAAGCAGCGGCAGGAGGCGATCGACGGCTGGCGACGAGGGGGGGCGACGGCGGGAGGAGGGAAGCCGGCAGCGGGAGAGGGCAAACGGCAGCGAGAGACGACGAACGGTGGGAAGCGATAGCCGGCAAGTGGGCGGCAATGGACAGTAGATGGGCGACCGGCTAGAAACGAAAGCAAGCAATGAGAAGAATTTTTATTTCTCATTTTTATTTCTAAAATAAAAAAGTAGAAAATTTTTACTTCTCATTTCTATTCCAAACCTGTTTCTGAAATCAAGTTTTGTTCCAGAAATTTAAAAAATGAAATTGCGTTACCAAACGGATTTTTGTTCCAAACTTGTTTCTGGAATAGAAAACTAGAAACAAAATGATTATCATTCGTAGCCTTAGCTTACAAGCAAAATTGTTAGATAAAGATCGCTCGCACAAATCTCGGCAGATAGTTTCTGAAAGAAGACGGTGAATATCCAAGACACGAGACAAAATAATAAAATCAGCATGAATTATACCCAAAACACGCAAAAGTTTCCAGTCACCTTAGCATCTGAGCTAATTAAATGTCTTTGAATTTCAAATACTAGACTTGAATGCTATCGCTAGAACAAATTCGAGCAAGAGTTAAACTTGCCTATCACACTCGATATAAATGAATTACACGGGAGACTGTAGAAGCGAGCAGTTGGGAGCAAAGGGGCAGTTACATTACCTGCATAGACAGATATCACCTCAATAGATTCTTCCCAGTTGTAGCCAGCCTTTGATGAAAAACGTGTTTTCACCTGCCAACCTCCATGGCCTAACCACCACATGAAAAAGGAGAAACGGTGGACCTCTTGACAATTTTCTTCCCCTGGCAAATGATGGAACTTGTCCAAAATGCCAACTCTTTGCATTGGTCGGCCCAAGATCTTGCTCACCCAACCACAGATATGCAAATAGATTTTTGTCATGCGGCATGAGCAATGGCACAAAACTTGTGGTATTACAAAATTACAAACTGAAGAGTCTTGGCTGATATTGACATGCTCGAAAAACAAAGTTAGTCCAAACCCATATACAACAACAGATAACCTAAGAAATTATGTCTGCTCTTGCTTGCAATAAAATCACAACACAAGGAGGAGAATATGCTGGCAAATGAAGTTTCAAGACGACTAAGTAGAGCCTGTTGAGCTCCAGACCTCCGATTGTTCCACACATAAAGCACCGGCTGAAGAGGTACTAGTATCTCGTCTTGCTCTGAAAATTCACCTACTTCAACCAAAAATTCACTTTTTTACCATGGATTTATGTCTCCTTTCCAAGCTAGAGAAAAGCCCAATGAGAATATGAACCATCAAGCAGAATTACCTAATATTAAGAATCACCAGAAACTCTGCAGTTATTCCTAGTAAAGCTCTGAGTACATGTCGTTTTGCCCTGATGTTGCACCCTCACATTCTACCCCTTCAAACTAGCCCGAGCATCTAGAGGTCAAACTCTCTAGATATTAAAGAGCCGCAAATGACAATAGTCAAAAGCCACTAAATAAAACCTTCCTTGGAATGTTTATGACTCCGATCAGATAAGTTCGGGCTGAGTTATTCGAACCAAGATGAGCAAATGGCTTCTAGCTCAATCTGATCCTTGTAGTTTAGAGGAAAAAATAAAGGATCGCATCTCACTATCAACTAAATCAGTATGCCATGCACTTGAAAGCCATGATAAAGAAATAAGCACAAGCCACCAGAATACAGAGTCGTGGGTCACATCACATCTCCCCCACTCTCTCACAGATGAGTAAGAGCATACCATCACCATTCATCCCCAATCTGTCAACCCTAACTGTTCGAAGTATCAGAGAACAGAACTCTCGTTAATCATTATACTGGTGTAATCATTCCACTTCAGCAGGGAAGCAACTGTCATGTTATGAATATCCATGCCCTATATTCGACTAATTCAAAGCCATCCATCCATCCATCCTTTTTCTGGCATGAACATCTCACAAGTCATTTAGCATGACCGGCACACAACTACATTCAAGATCCCACGAAATGCATCACAGTAAAAGAAAGCATTTCCTAATAGAGTAACTAAGATAGGGGAGCAGAATGAAAACTCGTCTAGAGGAAAGCACAACCTGCTGAATAACTCCGGACTTCAGGCCAACCCATTACATCTGCCAATTTCAACCACCGCATGCTAAAGATTAGCAAACATAGATTTTCCTCCAGATGATTCTCAGTGCATCTCGTTTGATGCAAATACAACCATAGCTTTCCTATTCTCAACAAACTGCAGAAGATCTCCAGAAGAAAATCTAAAACAGCTACAAGGGCAATTTTAGCCTCGAGTAACGTAAGTTGTTATAAATTCTTCATAATGGATATGCAATTTATCTCTTTACAGCAATGAAGAAGCACAGATACCATGCGATGCATCAAGGCAACTGCTATTTCAAGCAATACTTGAGATTCACGTCCAAACAGAAGGCTTAATTCAACACGACCAATTATAAACGAGTCATTAGTACTGCCCATTGATTCTCGCAGTGTACTTACATATCTCATATGGTATTTATTTGGGAAAAACAAAATTCCAATCCATCCTCACCATACAGAATGCTACAGAAAAAACAAAATCCCTCTAATATGAAAGTAATGGTTGAATGAACAGATAAAATCTTGGGAAGCCTATTCCGACCGCCGAATGAATTACCCAGCAGCTCCGAAGAAGTGAGAGCCATTCTCTACGTTTTGAGCAGGCACCAACTTCAGATGGGACTCAGATAGTTAGCGAACCTACCTGTCAACGTCAGGTTATATTGAAGAAACGAAAAGCGTCATTAATTTTGCACGATGTTCTACACGAGTACTGTGAAGTTGCAAACTAACTCTAGAGAGAGAGAGAGAGAGGACCTTCAGCGGAAGAGTTGACCTCGCTGGGGAGCTTCGAAACAAGGCAAGCGGAAGCGATGGCGCTGTGGACGGGAAGGAGGGAGCTCAGCTCCCGCCGCATCAACCTAACAAACAGCACGAATCCAAAAACGAGCTCGTAATCCAAACCCAGAACCCGACAACCTCATACATCGAAACGGCACCCTTTCTTTTTCCTGGCAAGGAAAACAAGAAGGCACCCCAGAGAGGAGGAGACGGCGAAACAACCTGAACGACAGGGGAGGAGAAATCCGAGTCCGAGGAAGCGCGAAACGGGGACAACCCGAAGGACGAGGCGATGCGGAAACCGTTCCTCGGAGCGTCGAGCTAGCTGTCCTCGCCGTGGCTCTCGAGATGGCGCGGAGGAATGCGGATCTTCCGGCGACGGAAGCTGCCATTTTTCTTCAGCCCCAAAACCTCCCTAAACCCGGGGGCATTTGCAGAGCCGACGGCGAGCACGAGGACTGCTAGTTCGACCGCGCGAGCAGCCTTCCCGATGGGGCTGGGCCTGTCCGTACGTCTTCTTCGTCCCATTTCATCTTGGGCTCCAACCCAAGCTCCAGCAAAAGAACGTGAAAAATGTGTAAACGTTAATAAATCTTCTGTTTTTTCTTTCTGTCGGGGAAAATAACACAAATAGCCCCTGAATTTTGATTCAATATATAATGTGATTCCTTAATTTCTAATTTATTTAATGCGGTCTCTGAACTTTAGCCCAATGTGCAACGTCATCCTTAAACTTTCAATTTCTTCAATGTGATCCCTAAACTTTTGATACATATTCAATTTAATCCCTAGATAATATGAAAAGTTCAATGTTATCCTTGAACTTAAATCAATAGAAAGATAATATTGAATATTTTCATATAATTCAGGGACTAACTTAAACATGTACCAAAAGTTTAAAGACCACTATGCCCATTGAGCTAAAATTCAGATACCACATTGAACAAATCAAAAATTTAGGAATCACGTTATATATTGAGTCAAAGTTCAAAGATTATTTGTGCCACTGTCACTTTTTCTATTATGGTGGTGCAATTACGGGAAGCTGGTTTTGCCCGTAAAGAAAGTTTCCTGTCTTGCAATCTTTGAATGGTTTTTACTTCTATTGATAAGGTCCATCGTCCCATCATTTCTTAATTTTTCTTCTGTGTGCTTCGTTCTTTTTGCCCATTTGTTGACCCTCCAATTGACTTGAATTAGCTGGAATTTTGTCAACAAAGCAACATGACCAAAGAAAGTAGGACGCTATCTTTTTGTTCTTTTTCCCTCTTTTACAAAGAAAACTTCGGTTGATAAAGCAGGCTTAACATAAGTGAAGATTAGTACGGATGGTCCAATAATAACACCAACCGGACAATGTACTATACAGGCAGCAGGGTGTTAAGCACGTGCTCTCCTTATTGGAGTATACCTATCAACATTCGTGAGACATCAAAAATCTTCATCATCTAGTGTTGGTCTGGTAATGGGAATCGACCATCTTCCCAAATGGGCGGTGTAATTTATACACCGGATAACCCCTCTTCCTGCTGGTCCATCGGGGAAGTCGATGACACTGATGCTCCCCGTGTCGAGGTGAAAGGATCCCATCCATTCTTTTGTTAAACCCAAGCAGTGCCCCATCAGTGCGATGTGAGCCACCGGATGCCCCACTGCCACCACGACTTTTTCAGGCTCGGTTTCATCGGAAAGTTCATCCAAGAGAGATTGCCAGGCTCTCCCTGACTGATCCCACAGCGCTGTGAGGACTTTGTCTTCGTGTTGGTTTAACCAGCCGGGTTGAAGAAGAGGAACTGGGGCAGCATCCTGCAGGAAAAGAGACGAGGGCAATGTCCCCCTCAAAAAACCAGATGCATGTTCAGCTGCTGTAATTCCCAGCGTGGCACAAAACTTCAAGATGCCGATGGCACTAGGCAGTGGATAAAAGTTCAATTCATTGTCATGATTGGATGCCTTTACCTTCTTCGATTGCTGCAGAACGTTTTCACATCCAAGTTCCTGCATTTGCTTCATCTCAACATAGCGTGGCACACAGTCAGCACCCAAGCAGTCTGCGGCTTCTTGAACCTACAGTAGTAAGAACGACTTAAGAGTGAGATTAACTTCGCAATAGCATAACTAAGTTCCTTGAGAACCTAGGGTAGGGGCATTTTCTTCATAGCTACAGTGATATGCTGATGTGAGGACCCAGGACATGAGCTTACTTTCGATATAGCCATGGCTGTCTCGATGCTGGTGCTCCTCGGACTGCTGATTATCGAGCTGACCTTCAAATCAAGAAGGAGCTCTGCAATTTTCTGGGACTGTCATATAGGGCAAAAGAAAATCAATCATAATCATAGGTACGCAAATGAGCCCGTTCCAGTGCGTCTCTTATATGGTTTATCCGAAGAGTCAAACCTGTATGATTCCAAGCATGTTCAATGGTTCATTACTATGACTTGGAAAAGTAACCTGCATATAATCAAAAGTTCATATCATAATATTAAAACCGAGAGACTGAAGAAGCTGGAAATAGAGTAAAAAGATAATTGCGGCACAGGCAGAGTCCAATATACTGCCTTCCACTGCAAATGTCTGCAGCTAAAATGTATATCTGCAGAGCGGAAGAGATCTGAGAAGTAGAAAGAAACCTCCGCCCAAACAAGAAAAGCCTCACTATGAATCCCCATCTAGCAATTTTACTTTGAAGTGCACAAGAGGTGTCCTACTTAATAAGATGTATCTCTAGGCATTTGTACATACCAGAAATTGCAGTAAAGAATAATCTGAATTGACAGCCAATTACACTGAGACTAGAAAAGAAGGTATGCACAATAGCCCTACAATTTGGCCTAAAAAGAAAAATTTGAACCCCCGCAATGACATGTTCGAGGTAATATTTGCCATATAGAAACCAAGGACAAGGCACAGAAATATCCACCAAGCATAATCGGTTAAGTGGACTTGACTTTTCAGCGACCTGCATCTTATTGAGAGGCGAATGGCGGGAGTAATCAGATACATAATTCCCTAATGAATATGCAGTCAGGTATTTTTTTTTTTTTTGCTTAAATAATAAGCAATAGGGTCATTGCTCTTACCTCAGCACCGCTCTCTGTTACTCCATGACAGATAAGTATGATCCTCTTGCTGGTTTTTCTGCCTGCAGAACTGCCAGCAGCAACAGGCGAACCTGGAGTCTGTGCAGTATCATTTGATTTTTTACACAAGAAGGGCTTTAATGTAGTAAACAATCATGAATACATCTTTGAGTACTTGAATGACGTATACCTGGTTTAGCCGGTTGAGGCATATAAATGGGGATCCGCCCTCAGCTCCCGGGGTAAAATCCAGTACACTGACTCCGCAATTGCTTTGTAGCAAAATCCGGAAATATTCTGTCCCTAATCCTGACCATTGAGAGGAAGAATGACAAAAGAAAAAGGTCGGATGGATAACAAAGCTAATCTCAGAACTCATATATTCAGACATTCATCTGAAGAGTGAAAGGATGAAGTACCAATAGCAGTTGCGACAAGAGCCTGATTAACAGCATTGTGGGCAACCACAAGAACAGACCTGCTTTCATGGGCAAGAATTTTGGTCCAGCAGTCGCTAGCGCGTTGCCATAATTCCCTCACAGGATAGTGATCGTCAATGCAAAAGTTTGCGGCATCCACCTGCCATTGCCGAAATGCTGCACCATACTTCGCTTTCCCCTCGTGCTTCAGGAGCCCCTAGATTTTGCACCACACCAACAAAAAGCAGTTCATATTTGGCACGCACCGCCCAATTTTCAATCTTGCACATCCAGATGGCTTATGGACAAATCGGGTAAGCGAGTGTACTTGAAATGAATAGAGGTCAATTTCCCTCAAGTCAGTATCAGCAATCATATCCTCCTCCCGTGCTCCCCATATGATCTCAGCTGTTTTCTTCGAGCGTGCTAGGGGGCTGAACAGAGAAACGCACCATTCAGAGATGACATTTCAACTCCATCGTCAACAACGAATGCTAGATTTCAGTTCAAGAGAACATTTTGCGAGGAACTACACACTAAAAGTAAGTTACATTGATTACATATTCCACACCGAAGCACACTAGTCGTCAGTCATTCTATTCATCAAGCTCCACAGCACGCTCGCTGCTCCGATGAGAGGAAGCAAGGCAGGTTTCAGATATTACGAGGACTGCAACGAAAAACGACGCGCGCACCTGGTGAAGCAAACGTCGAAGGAGTCATCGATGAGCATCTGGCGCGAGGTCTCGGCCTGAGCCTCGCCCTTCTTCGTGAGGACCGCGAAATCGGAGCTGCCCTGGATACGACCTTCCGCATTCCACGTGCTCTGGCCGTGCCTCACCAGCACCACCCTCTTCGCCGCCCTTATCGCCGGGAACCTCGCCGAGCCGCGAAGCTCGGCGCCCGGGCCCCCGACTCTGTCCTCGACGATCGCCGGCGGCTTCTCGGTGAGGCTCGAGGAAGCCGATCGGACGCTGAGGAAACTGGCCGGCCGGGGCCGCGCGCGGGTCGGGCCGGCGCGCCGGAGAAGAGGATTGTGGACGACGGGAGCACTTGTGGAGGACAACATTTGGCGACGGTTTGCTTGCTGTGTCCTCTCTGTTTTGCCGCTAAATTCTGGAAAACCGAGAAATATCTTGTCGGAGGAGCAGTTAGGACCGTTGGATGGTTTTACTTTCGCCTGATAAATGGGCCGGGCCGGGCCTTAAGAAACTACGGTGGGGTTCGGAAATAAGGTTAAGAGCCCGGCCCGCCCACCATCGAACCAATTGATGTTCTTGCCGAGCCCAACGGGCCATACTTTGTTATGAAGCCCGCCAGATGATGGTCCTTGGTCATGTATTGGAAGTGGACCCGTCAACCAAGCGGCTTAGGTCGGATTTCGGTCGGGTTGAAAATGGTCCAACCCAAATCGACCCATTTCCATGCAACACAAATCCCGTGACCCATACTCAACGTGACCCATGTTGTTAGAATGCTTCCAAATTTAACTCAATTTAGGAAAGTTCGTACCCAAACCAAGGTGAGAGCGTCGAGTAAGTAAGCAGAAGATCTAGTGAGGACGAGAGAAAATGAAGAGAGAGTCATAGAAGTGAGTTAGATCTTCGTAAGTTATAAACCCATTTAACACCCATATTATGTTAAATCTCATGCATACCCATTTACCAAATATAACTAACCCATATAATAACTCAACCCATCATATATGAATTAAAAAAAAAAAGGTTTATAACTCATTTTGACAGATCTAATTAAAAGTAGTCTTCTAGCATGAGGGACTTGTAGGCGTAAGAACACTACTCGAATCGCTAAAACAATTGCACCCGACTTATTTATGACTGCCGATGAAATTTTGCTCCCGCCACAGAAAGAACATTCCAAATCAGTCCCGATCGAAACCAGCAAGGTCCTCGAGACACCCCGAACAACGCCGTTCATTCTCGAAAGAAAAGTCGATGCCGAGGCCACGGCTCTCGAGACGCGATACGACGTCCGAGCCCAAATCGAACCCCGACGGCGACTCGGGATATTTCCGCAACCAGGATTGGTTCGAAACGAACGGCTAGCCCGGAGGCTTCTTCGGGGGTGGGGATGGGATTACGAATGGAGCCAAGAGAAAGAAAAGTAGCCGTTGCTTTCCGGATCGTCGGGAGGGGGGGAGGGTCTGGTGGCACCTCTCGTCCACCGGGGGGGGATCCAGCTAAGCAGAACACGCGCCCCACCGCCCCCTTTTTTCCCCCCGAAAATCAATTCGTGTCACCTCCAAACTCCCCTTCCCTAGCACTAGCACTTTTAGCACTGGCACTGTCTCTCGTCTCGTCTGGCCTTTCATGCCGAGAAAATATCAGGGCCCCGTTTCGGTCAATTCATCATGCCAGCTAGGATTGCCCCCCCTTCCTCATTTCTTCATTTTCATTTTCTACTTTTCGTTTCCGCTTTTTTTTTGGTTGGGGGGGCCGGGCGGGGATGGGGATCGATTTAATTAGTCGGATTGGGTGGGTCGGTCGGGGCGCGTTTAATCCGGGGATTCGTCTCTCCTCTTTCGCTTGTGCGCGTCGTAGTAATGTCGTCTTAGCAAAACCCCCACTAAAATCCAGGAGGATCCTCTCCTCCCTAAGTGGCCCCCCCGCCCCCCATGAGAACGAGAGATAAAAAAGTCTCTTTGTTGGAAAAGACCGTTCGGACAACCCGTCGGAAAAAACAAAGAAGGGAAAAAGGAAGAAAGAGAAAGAAAAGGAAAGGAAGCCGCTCGTTTGATATTTTTATCTTTTTTGAAAAAATTTCGGACAGTTTACATTTCTTAATCCCCTTTATCCTTTCGTTTTCGAGCTTCTTTATGACCCCCCGCTTTCCATTGTTATCAATGGACAGAGAAAGATATAGAGAGAGAGGGACTTTAGGAGCACTCCTGATCACTTCTTTTTTTGTTTTTATAGTACCGGTTGTTGTTGCTCGATCGCCGCTTTCATCGTGGAAGTGGAAAATTTAGGCCAAAAAAGAACGGGGGTCGCGACGACCGGTCGGAATCCAAATCGCGATGTATCGATGAGTGACCTCTGATGTAAACAGCAAGAGGAACGGCACATATATTTGCCCGAATTGATTTAAACATTAAACTTTTTGGGAAGGCGGTTAAAATGGCATTCCGATCCGATCTGGTCGGCCTGAACGGTACGATTGGATCCTTTCCTTTTCTTCATTTTTTGCGGTCATTTTCATATACAACCAAACTCCACGACAAATAAAAGAGGGGATCTCACCTTTATCCCATAAACGATCAAATCGCGTGTCTTTACTCCGACCACATCGGAACAGGAAATACACGGAGGAGGGCACGCGTGATCGCATCCGATCTTAAACTCGGGACCTGATGAGCCGGCCTCCTCCGCCGTCGCCCGTCGCACCGCCGCCCAAAATCACGAAATTGCCACCGGGCACCCATAAAACAAAAAGCGCATTACACCGCGGCGATGAAATCGGATAACATAAAAATCGGGAAAATGACAGAGAGAGAGAGAGAGAGAGAGAGAGAGAAACAACAACGAAGGAGGACGCGGCTCTGCCTTCTCCATCCCTCTCCCCTTTAATTGACTCCCTCTCTCTCTCTTTCTCTACACTCACTATCACACTCTCGTTCACACTCTCGTTCACACTCTCACTCTCTCTCTCTCTCTCTTCGAGCTTCTGCGTCCTCTCTCTCTCTCTCTCTAGAACATCACCTGTCAATCTTCTCCCCCGCACGGCACGAAGCAAGAGGAGCGCTCGAACCAGAAACCCTAAAGTCGTCGCTCCCCTCCCCCCCCCCCAGGCCCGATCGTCGTCTCGGCCAGATCTGGGCCGCGGAGCTCGCGGTGATTTCCCAGCTATGCGCCACTGATTCCCCCGCGCGCGCCCCCCCCCCACAGCATGTCGAGCTCCGACCCGAAAGCCCGCCCCAAGCCGGGCCCCTGGCCCCCCGTGCCGGAATCCTCGCCAATGCCGCCGCCGTCCTCGTGGGCCAAGCGCACCGGCTTCCGCCCCAAGTTCTCCGGCGAGGCCAATGCCGGCGACTCCGGCCAGATGCCCGTGCCCGTGGCCCCCCGGCCCAGGGAGCCCGACGGCCAGCCGGATCTCGAAGCCGGCCGGGCCCGGGCCCAGCCTCCGCCGGCGTCGGCGCCGCATCCCCCGCCTCGGCGAACGGGCAGGCCCAGGGGGACAAGCCGCCTCTGCCGCCCCCGCCCGCGGCGGCGGCGGCGGCGGCGGCCGTCGACAAGGATCAGCCGGCGAAGAGGCGGAGGGATTCTGATGGGGGAGGGGCGCCGAAGAGCTCCAGCCCGGGGGTGAACAGGCGGGCCTCGGCCGGGCCCGCGGAGGCGCCGCGGCGGCCCAACAGGAGCGAGGAAGCTGTGGACATGTTGCCTCAGACGGTGGATGATGATGGGTTTGGGAGCAGGCATTCGCATATGAAGTACGAGCTTAGAGATAATCCGGGCCTTGGTGAGTCTTTTGGGTTTACTTAGTTCGTTAGCTTCGTGATCTTTTAGCGGCGCGTGGTCTTATTTAAGGTGTGATAGAGTTCATCTGTTTGAAAGTCTCGATTCTGTATCTGTCAAATGTGCAATTTGCAGGTTGCAACTGCAATCATGCCATCTTTAATGCCGTCACAAAATAAGTAATTTAATTGGTGGCCACAAACAGTTTGGCTACAGTCATTTTGACAATTCAAGTCAAATTGTATGTTTTTGTGCGGCTGTACTTTTCATTCGATGATATCAGGGATATGATGCTTCTTGAAAAGATACCTTTTTTTTAATCAAATGACCTTAATTTTTTTCGGTCTGGATCAATGACCTTATAGATAGGCCTGATTTTGCATGATTTCACTTGTGTGATATATATTTCTTGTGCATATTGCTTTCGCGAAAATACGTCATATCTATGTTTTAACAATCAGCATTATTTAATTTCTCTTCTACGGTGCAACTTTCAGTTCCAATTGGCTTCTATGGATTCCAGCATTTTCTTTCAATGTTGGGCTCGCTCGTTCTCGTCCCACTTGTCATAGTTCCTGCAATGGGTGGCGATCATGTGAGTAGTCTGGTTTTATTTCCTAATATATGTTGATTTTCGTCTCCATCAACCAATGTACCTCATTTGACTTGATTTAAGAATGTAGGAGGACATCGCAGCTGTAGTCTCTACTGTGCTCCTGGTGTCTGGAGTCACCACACTTTTGCAAACTTGTTTCGGGTCAAGGTTGCCCTTGATACAGGGTCCATCTTTTGTTTACCTTGCTCCTGCTCTAGTGATAATCAACTCTCCAGAATTTCAAGGGCTGAATGGAAATGTAAGTAATCAATTTTCACTTGATCTAATTGTGGCTAGATAAATTAATTTACTTGTTGGTGCTTTCTCCAGACAACTGTTCAAATCATGAGCTATGCATCAAGTGCAACCGCTTTTTTATTCTCCTTGTACTGGCATGTTTTGATCTACGTTTAAATCCTTCATTGTGTATCTTCTACATCACCTTATCGGTGGACAGTTTTCTCCAGTTAGTTGGATGATATGATTAGCTTACCAATGGAAAATGGACAAATGTTACTGGCTCTGGTTTTGTGGCTTACGCCCTTCATTGTCATGTTGCCTTCTTCAGTCTGAAGCTTCATCACAGAGCCATTTAGTCATGTGGGAGAATGGTGTTAAGAAGTACTGATCACTTTTAGTCATGCCCTCCATAAGAAGAGGAGAGAGAAGTTGAACAAATTAAGTGACACTCCTTTCTCAATTAGACATGACAGAGTCTACCCATCCTTAGATACTAGATGAATTTTCTCAGCTGTCAGTGAGCATTTCATTGTCAATGGTGGCATTAGCGACATGAAACTTCTTTAGCAATCACCTGTTGGAATTTTATACTTCTAGATGAAGCTGGAGTTTAAGTTTACTTTTGGACAACTTAAAAAAATCTCTAGTGGCTTTTGTCATCTAGGTAGGAGTCTTGAGGAGACTTCATCATTTTATAGGCAGAATGCCTACTTTGTCGTTAACAATTTACAGATTTCAGTTTAAAGGTATGCAGGCAGCCAAAAATTTTATGAGTAATTTCACTTGTAAGAGTGAATTAGTTGCACGGGGTTGTGATGGACTGATAAATAGGAAGGTGGTTGAGATATGTCAATATCATGGTTGTGTTTTCATCCATTGAATTCATAACGTGTATTCATAAGTAAAATATACTTGTCTCTAGTCATGAACTTGTTAAAAAATTCCTATTTTGCATTTTTTCCAGTTAATTTACATAATGCCGTTGTTAAGGAACTCTAGATTTAGGTATATTACCGCATCTTGTAAATAGAGATTTGATTCTTGATAATAAATTTGACATTTCAATTCAGTCTTACTGGATCACAATCTTTTGTGCATAGAAATTAGAATGTTCTCATCTCCCTCATGTGTCGGAGGTTGATATGGAGCTGCGCTTTGATTAGCTTAGGTTGATTCACAGTTAATATATTTTCACAGTGACAAGCGTGCATTGGGCAAACCATTCAAGAACACCTGCTATCAGTATGAAAGAAAAAGTTGGTTGATTTGTATCCTTTTGTAAAATTGGTTTTCTAAAGACTGTTATTATTGCAAACCTATAGGTTTGGTTTCTGGAATTAGGAATGGCTATTTCTCTCCCTTTTATCAACTCTTTGCGTCTGTGTATAAGTGAATTTAAGCCTTTAAGGTCTAAGTTTACCTTGGTTTTCATCTTACGGATCTTACTATCTTACAATCTTTCTATTTCATCTTTGAATGCCATTGAGCCTAAGTTGTTTTGTGATGGCAGAATTTCAAACACATTATGAGAGAGCTACAGGGTGCCATAATTGTCGCTTCAGCTTTTCAAGCCATACTTGGTTATAGTGGACTTATGTCCATTCTTCTGAGGTAGAGCTATGCTTATCAGCTTATCAGCTTATTATCTATCAAGCACTGCCTATTAGCATGCTTGTTATTTAACAATGCTTTTATGAAATTATTGCTGAGCAATGCCAGATTAAACTACTGCAGTTCTTTTCTCTTACAATTCAGGTTGATAAATCCAGTAGTGGTGTCCCCAACTATTGCTGCTGTTGGACTGTCTTTTTATAGCTATGGTTTTCCTCTGGTTGGAAAGTGTCTTGAGATCGGCATTCTGCAGATATTACTGGTCATAGTTTTTTCTCTTGTAAGTTCTACATAGCTTTTTCAAAAGGGCACGTGCAGTTTCCTTCTTTCTCTATTTGGCAGTACATCAACTCTCTCTCTCTCTCTCTCTCTCTCTCTCTCTCTCTCTCTCTCTCTCTCTCTCTCTCACGCTTGCGCACACACACACCCATGCACACACAACATTGCATTCTGAGCTGTTGTTTAATTGAGGGCATTCCTTTGGAATTTTATCATATTGTAATATCTGACATGTCTGTCTATTTTCTTGCAGTATCTTCGCAAGATATCAATTTTTGGTCATCGTATATTTTTAATCTATGCAGTAAGTTAAAAGCTGCAAAGCTCTACTTCTTTTTCTGTCTCACATTATATTCATAGTTTTCTTTACCATTTGCAAATTTCTATAGTTATGTCCGCTCATATTTGTAGGTTCCACTGGGTCTTGCTATCTCATGGGCTGCTGCTTTCCTGCTGACCGAAGCTGGTGCTTATAGCTACAAAGGTTGTGATGTAAATGTACCAGCCTCAAACATAATATCTGAGCACTGCAGGAAGCATATATCCCGGATGAAGTACTGCAGGGTCGATACCTCCCAGGCATTAAAATCTTCTCCATGGTTGAGGATTCCTTATCCATTACAGTGGGGAACTCCGGTCTTTCGCGGGAAAATGGCTATAGTTATGTGTGTCGTGTCGATAATATCGTCAGTGGATTCAGTAAGTGTTTGGTTTTGTTTCTCTAATGATTTTAAGCTATTTATTCAGATCTCATTTTCTTGATATGTTAAATGTCACATATAGCATTCCATAGGTGATCAATTATATATAAAGTACATGTAAGTTCTTGGTTACAGAGTGTATTGTGTGCTAACCACAAACTGTGTCCGACATTATGAGATCAGTGTAGCTACAATTTTTTCCAACTCTATAGTTAGTTATGTGAATGGAAGAACTATAATTCACATTTTGTATTATGTGATAAACTACACTTTGCATCATGGACTTTGGAAAAGAAAATCAAATCTATAACACACAAATATTCTGACAGCTAGCACATGAATTTCACAAAACTGATGGCTAACAGATGACAAAGTAACTTTATGTATTCATAGGACTTACATATAAAGTATGTGTTTTGAACTTGATGAAATGTAGTAGTTACTGCGTTTTTGCACCCTTTTCCAAATAGCTGGTCTGCTAAATTCTCCTTTTGTTACATTCAGGTTGGATCATACCATGCATCTTCACTCTTGGTGGCGTCGCGACCTCCAACCCCAGGCGTTCTTAGTCGAGGCATTGGTCTTGAGGGTCTTTCAAGTGTCTTAGCTGGTCTCTGTGGCACAGGAACCGGATCGTCCACACTAACTGAGAATGTGCACACTATTGCTGTGACTAAAATGGGAAGCCGTAGAGCAGTTGAAGTAGGTGCGGGTGTTTTGATAGTTTTATCTGTTATAGGTAAGAAGTCATCCTCAATATCTTTGACTTCTGAGATCATTGGATCACTTGGGTGGTGGAATCACTGTTGATGCTACCTGCTTGGGGTGCTAAATGAAGCCTTCTGTGGTATTTGGATAATTGAGTATAGATAATAGATAAATAGGCGTCAAGGATGTGCCAACCATACCATTTACAAGATTTGTATATACGCATAATGGCAAGTGACAACCTTCACAATTGAGATTCTTCTAACTGAGATGAACTAAAGTTTGTCAACTTCCATACTGTAAACAATACCAAAAGAATGATAATTTTCTAGAGAAACCCATTTTCTTTAAAGTTATTTTCAAGACGGCAATGTTTCACATAAAATTTTAAGTTTCTTAAATCTTTGAAGCACTAATCAACTGAGCTGACAAAATGATTGTGGCTTCATATTGCTGAACTTGATATGTAGCTGTGGTCGTGATTTAGATCTAGATGGCTGTTTTGCTAGCTTGAGACTGTCCTTTGACTGAATGTGTTGTTCCCTTCTCACCTTTTTTCCTTGAGAGGACCATCCTTGGATCAGGTGTCTTTTGTACTGTACAATTTTATAGGATCTTGTGTCAACTTGTCATATCTTTAAGACTTGCTCCTAGTGCTAATAAGGCTGCCAAATCCTTTCTAGTTCCTTTTAATTTCTGATTCTAACCTTGATGGTAACGTGCCATATGAGTGATGCAATCAACAAAGGGCTGATTCTTTGAGCTAGAAGTTTAACATACTAAGCAGATGGAGTTTGTGATTTTGGCATATGCTTTTGCATGTGAAGTTTGATAATTTTTCATTTGTGATAGTCGAGCATGGAGGCAACTCTGTAGTCTTTGTTATTTATCTGGCAAATTAAGTTTAAGTAAGGTTATGGCACTGAGATGCTGAACATACCGGTTCATGTTCTTTCTTTCTGCACCTCCTTGGGTACCCTTCCTGTGGGCATGAAGTGGCCTGTTTCCTTTCCAATGGTGAAATTTAGTATCGGGTCTTGATGTTTTCTTTCAATTGCTCACAGGTAAAGTCGGAGGTTTTATTGCTTCAATTCCTGTGGTCATGGTTGCTGCTCTCCTTTGCTACATGTGGGCAATGCTTGCTGCTTTAGGCCTGTCAAATCTGCGTTACAGTGAGGCAGGAAGCTCTAGGAATATCATCATTGTTGGGCTATCTTTGTTTTTCGCCCTTTCAATACCAGCCTACTTCCAGCAATATGGCATCTCCCCCAATAGTAATTTGTCCGTTCCAAGTTATTTCCAGCCATATATCGTAGCTTCTCATGGACCTTTTCGCAGCAAGTATGGAGGGGTAAGGATCTCTTGGCCTGCTCTGCTTGCAAAATTCTTTTTCGGCTTCTTCTTCTTGGTGGTTTAGGAATCGATCATTTTGCATGCAAAACCCTTGATGGCAGGGTGATCGGATAGGTTTTTAGAAATAGATGTGGAAATAGCAATAGACAAACTCTCGTTTGGGCAGGGAACATAGTGCCACACTAGAATAGATAACTGCTTTTGAATGGAGCATTAGTTCTTGAAGTTTCAGGATGCAATTGTGCTCCCAAGCTACACGATAACACCATCCTATGTGGTGTGAATGTCATCCCGTTGCACATGAGAGATGATATCCTAATATGTCAGCGAAAAAAATGATCCTGAAGCATTCTCTTTTATAGGAGTGTTTAAATCTGTGCTAGTGACCGTTCGTCATTTCCTCTTTGGTTTATAAAAAGAAACATCTATTAAATAGTCAGAAATGAAGTGAGCTTATCTATCCAAGTTAAAGAACCCCAGCCAAATCAATGATCCATCCAAGTTAAAGAACCCCAACCAAGTCAATGCTCTCAGTCAGATTGGCTTTGTTTTTAACTGATAATGGAATCTTTAAGGCCCATAGAGCTTCCCAATGAAGAAAAGATTTCTAGCAAGTAATTTGTTTCTGTTATGTTAAACTTTGCAGGTGAACTATGTCTTGAATACATTACTTTCAATGCACATGGTAATTGCATTTTTTGTGGCTGTTATCCTGGACAACACTGTTCCTGGTAGTAAGCAAGAACGGGGTGTTTATGTGTGGTCTGAACGGGAAGCTGCGAGGAGGGAACCTGCAGTTGTTAAGGACTATGAGCTTCCCTTCAGAGTCAGCAAGTTCTTTAGATGGGTTAAATGGGTTGGTCTCTGAGCATCGGCGTTGCTGGGTGGCTAAATCATTGCATTAAAGCAGCTGTCGTTACGAGATGATTGTAATAGCACTTGGGTTCTGAATCTGAGCTGTTTAACACCATACTGAAGCGGAGCAATACCCCACGGTCTGTTCTTTTCTAGCAAAGTAGGACGACATGAGCCAATAGATTTTGGATATGAGTCGCAATGTACATTTGAGGTCTCTTGAGATCTGGTTGTGTTTGTAATTTTTTGAATGGTTAGCGGTAGCTTACTGAAATGTCTAGATACAGCTTCTGGCAAGCTAGGAGCTCTGTTGTGTAAATTCTGTTTGGATCATCTTTTTCTCGAACAAATTTTGTTTGGAATACTGAATGGAAATGAGTTCTACTCGGAAATATTGATCACAGGCATGATGTTTTATCTTCCTCCTAACTCTTAACTTGTGTTTCGTACGATCTAGAAGATCGGTGGGATGAGCTTTTATTTTCTTTGCTGATGGTCATTGCAGGTTTTCAATGGAAAATGACTGTTGGATTCATGATTTTGGGAACTTAATGGTGCTATGATAAGGGCTTAAGTGACCTAATAGTGTTATTCTTCCTTCCTTATTGGATCTTCCCGTCTTATTCATGCCCCTCTCCTAATATTCGTGATAAGAATGTCATACCAATTGGAAAAACAGCAGGGCTTGCATTAATGGAGTTTATAGTGAAAAGCAAAGACCATGGGATTTTTCTTCACCGTGATTGGTTCTGTCTTTTATATCCAGTGCAGGATTAGGTACCAAATATATTTAGCGTGTCTCGGATGAGCGACCATTTCGAGGTAAATCTCAATCCAAATGCGTGCTGTCTCTTTTCAAAGCTCGATCGCTAGCAAGGGTCTGTCGTGCATGGCGATATCATGCACATTACTTAATGTAACACTATTAATAGAATAGGGCGTGGGCGCGCCCGTCAAGGTTGATAATAGAATAGGGCTACGGCACGCCACCGTTGCCTTGTTTTTGACATGAGCCTTTCCTTACCGGCAAATGTAATGTGAATTGTTTGACATCCTCAGATGGCAAGCTGTGTGAATAATATTAGTAAATCACAAGTCATGAAACAATATATACATACTACAGCAATTTTTTGTATGTAGATATGGATATGACATGACTTATCGGATCCGCTACCCTTCATCTCGATGGCCATCTCCCTCTTTGTTTTTGACCCAACTGTCTTTCGCACCTTTAACCCCAGTCAACCCGTAGAATTCTTCTATCAACTCTCTCTCTCTGTCTCTCTCTCTCTCTCTCTCTCCCACAAAAGTTTTTTAGGACATTTTCAATACGAAACATATAAATTACATGGCTAAAATCACGCGATGATGAATTATATGAATTACTTAGCTATGACAGCGTTAAGTTGACATAATAATTTCGATGGCGGTATGATTGCCTCAATGCTTCTCACGTAGTCGGGTCAATAGAAATCCAATAGACAGTTCCGATGGTACGAATTTCAATCACCCAAATTCAGTTTAGTGGACTATGCCCATGGGTGAGTTTTGTGACATAGAGACTTAAAATTGTTGAGCTTCTTTTTGTGGCTTAATTTTTTGTCGAATACGTCGTTTGGGAGTATGGGACTAAGCTCAAGATCTTCTAATATATGACAGAGAAACTTTCGGGCGTCCGTTGGGTTGAGAACGAACACCCTGAGAATGCCCCGGATCAGATTATGGCTGGTCCGGCGACCCCGCTACACTTAAGTCGCATGGCCGGCCGGCAGCCTAGAAGATCTCTTGGCATTGGCTAGATGTCTGGCCACAATGTTGGCAGGGAACTCGGACTAGGGCACAGCTTTTGTCCAGGTATCCAGAGGGAACGCATTTTGACGCAAACTTTTCCGTTTTTAAGTAAGTTTTCTCCTCCATCTTGAATAGAACACGATCACAAGCTGTTCAAAGAGTCTCTTATGCTATTCTAGCAAAACTCGATAAGAGAAACATGAGCGCTTGTGAGGATTTGTGTCATGGGGCTTAAGAGACATATAAGCGAGTGATTGTAACCTCCGAACCATGTAAATCTTCAATTTTCTTTATCGTTTCTTGATGTTTTCTCTGGCAAATTGCGTTCTTTCGCATTAGATCGCGTCATTTAAAAAAAAATAGTTATAGCTCAGCTCCCATTCTTCGACTAGACCTCCTCCTACATACAAAGTGATAGTCAGCACATATGCACATGTATTTGTCTTGACCCCAGGTCGTTGATCAGAAGATGAGACTATCTCGAGTTGACCAGCTGAACTTCAACGTCAACTCCATATGTATTTTCTGCTACATCAATATAATTAAATTTTGTTCCCGATTTCGCTGCAAATGCAAGCTTGACAAATTCTTGGGGGGGCGATGACCTCCACCTGCCTGCCCTGCAAGAGATGAGCGAAAGTTCGATGCTTCTTCACCCATCCATCAGCCAACAGCATATTCCTTTCGAGGTACTAAAGTATCATCATGTTTCACGTAAATCAGGATTGACTTCACAGTTCACATGTCCTTCTTTTTAAAAGATAAAAGGAGGGATCACATTTTATGTGAATAACAATAAATTTAAAGCTAGGGCTTAGAAGATACTTCACTAACCTCATTGAAATGAGTAGGATATGGAAAGAAACCTCGATGGCTCTCGCAAATGATGCTTGCTCGTACTGTTTTCCGATTAATCGAAGACAGGAAGTAATTGCGTTTTTGTGCACACTTCAGTCTAGCACAATAACATGTCATATCGAGTTTCTATACTACCCCGAGTCAATTTATTTCCATGGAGATCGCGATTCATCGACTACAATACGTGGCTCAATCAATCATGTATTTCGACATGACGTGCCACGAACTCGAATCCATCCTCACTAATCGAAGGGTCTCACTTCTTATACTTGGCATAATTTGTATATTCTTATGCAATCATTAGCTAGACATTAAGTACTAATCAATTAGTTGAGAGTGGCTCTACTCACCCTATCGTCTCTTGCAGATCTTCTTCACCCTTTCTGCTTTTCTTTTCGGTTTGGTTGTTTCTGAGAAACCCTGGTTTTGACAGGGACAAATGCACGGCTCTCCCTCCCGTTGACTTTCAAGTTTGTACACATTAAAATGTTCCATAAATTTTCTTTTTCGCGCGACTTCACCATCTGTAGGTCAAGGTCTTCCCCGTACTTCACATTCGTAAGATGTGAATCACATGTACACTGAAAAAACAACGGAGCACATGCTCAGGCTCTGCTTCACGTTTTCATGTGCGGATCGCGCCCTGCATTATTGCGAAGATAAGAGGACAATCCAATGAGGAGAAGGCAACAAAACAGTTGGAAGAATAACTGCACGTCCCGAGGTTTTCGTGCAAGAATCTGGTCCAACCCTAGTACAGTACAGCATCTCTGCGTCACATGGACGTCGACTTTATAAAACCTGCAGGGTCTGATCAATACAACTAGATTAATGTCTAGTCTAAGCAACATAAGACAGGTGGAACATATGCATCATTGGATATTGCCACGGTGAACACGGATGCCGAATCGTTTTGTCGATTATGGCCGGTGATCTCTGCGATCACTTATCCGTTCATAACAGTTTAGAATCATTTAATTTTATGATGATTTCAGCTCTCTAGCGCGATAATGAAAAGGCGTTTTATGATTTAATTTAACGTAGTATGGTATTACTTTTTAACATGGTCAAAATGTCAAGGATGTTCTCGAGTCAGTTTTGAACTATGTCGATCATATAGTTGTATATTAAGTTCATGTACAACCAATGTGTATATATATGAAGTGTCAAAGATCAAAATGCTTAGACTCGATGATCTTTGATCAAGTATTTCTAATGTGTTATAACATTGCGAGGACCTTTCCCGTCCCCTTCCAACATTTCCGTCACAAAGAAAGAGAAAAATTTCAGTTAACATGGTCTTTCTAACTCTCCTTTTCATGTTAATTCCGGTGAAGTTTACGTTCCAGCAATTTCCTTTCCAATGTATATGCTTTGATTTCCTTCTAATCTAGGGATAATGACACAAACAGTTCCTGGATTTTGACCTAATGTGCAATTCAGTCACTGAACTTTTAATTTATCCAATGTCGTCCATGAACTTTAATATAATATTCAATGCGGTCCCTGAACTTTTAATTTGTTCAATTTGGTCCCTAAACTTTTGATACATGTTCAATTCAGTCCTTGAACTATATGAAAATATTCAATGTAGTCCCTGAACTTGAATCAATGGAGGGATGACATTGAACATTCTCATATAGTTCACGGACTACATTGCATATCGGGTTAAAGTTTAGAGACTACATTGAACAAATTAAAAGTTTATGGACCAAATTACACATTGGGCCAAAGTTCAAGGATTGTTTGTGTTATTTTCCCTCTAGTCTAATTCCTGCACCGTCCTTTAGTTTCCTTCAATTCCCTTTCACACTTTGCTCTAGGGAACTAGCAAGCTTTATTCGCGCACCTGTCGTTCGACCCATCTTTTGAAAACTTGTTTTGTGGATAGTTTGATCATTTTGTGATAGAATTATGACCAGAGAACAATCTTCTATACGTTTTCCCAGTTGCTCGATAGTTAGATTCGCTCGATGTTGATTTAGGAACAACGTCATCGAACGTGTGGAGATCACGACACTCATTATCAAAACATGTGGAGAAAGCAAAGACATTTACTTCGAAGCATGCAAATTATTTGGAGAAATGCACCAAGCAAGCAAACAACAATGGTCACGAACGAGACATCAAAAGATACGTATCTTCAAACTCCGTAATTGATCGTCGACAACGACTTCCTAGAGCAATTTAGACCACAATAATATCCAGAAATTGCGTTTTTTTCTTTCTCTTTTCTTTTTTCATTGAATGTGACAAGGAAAATGTCATCCTCTTCGTGTGGAAAACCTGGCACGTGGACGTGGAGTAAAATCTATTGTTGTGTACAGACAGACGTCAATTACTTGGACGTGTTAAGCGTGTTGCTACAAACTTATAAGCCACGTGTCCTTCCCTTGTTTCGAAGTTGTCAACGCTAGTCGTACGTAAAGACAGTCGAATCGTGTCAAATCCCATGTTTGCCATGCAGCTTCAAATGCGCTCCAAGGAATCCAACCATAAGTTAGCATGATTCGATTACAACCGTACGTGTCTCGATCTCATATCGCAGCGTCTTCAGTTCGAAGTAACCTTAAAGAAATATGCATATCATCTTATGATAGGATTAGCAAATCCGGTGATTCATTGCATGCATTAGTAAAAGTCAGTCGAGGAGCGAATTTGAATACCTACCTTATGAAAAAAAAGAAAAAAAGTGGGTAGCTATTGAAAACGAGACGTGAGGTTGTCACGATGAACTCGTTTAACTACACAT